ATGTAACCCGATTTTAAAATAATTCTAAAAATGTTTTCAGCAGCGACTCAAATATTCATGACGAGAACAGTCTATATCAATACAACCAGCCAACAGCCCTAATACGGCTGTGTGCCTTGCTTTGTGTTCAATACCCACGTGACAGGCCACAGCCAGAGAAATCCTCTGACGTCATGTCTAGACAAACACGCCATTTTGAGTTTGGAGTCGGCCGCGGTGAGACCGGGAGGGTAAGTGTTGGCTATTTTTCCATACTATGTCGGATATTAGTGAACCAGGTTATTGGAATGAAAGCCAGAAAGAGGCGTTAAGTTCTCATCGGGAATTTATCAAAGAATGATATTATTTATTAACGAACTTGAACAGGATGGCCCCGATGGAAAAAGATTGCCTGAAAAACCGAAGGGAGATTTAAAATCACTCCTTGCGAGTCGTTAAAAAAATCAAATATCCTAACAGGCGAAGATCTTCATACCTATTTAGCTGATAATTTAATGACGACCAATTCCGTCAGCTGTCCCACAGTGAGCCTGGAAGGAATGTTATCCAATCTCAAAAAAGGTTATGCTTTGTTGTCAAAACAAAATTCATCTTCTTTATCGTCCTCCCTCGATTATGGGGAATGGCTTAATGTAGCATATGAAATACACAGTATAGATAAGATAAAAGGCAAAGTCTCAATTACCTGGAAAGACTGGCTGAAAGAAAAAGTTGGCATTGACGACACTTATGCCCGAAAACTAAGGGAACTTTGGAAATTGTTCGGTGAATATACTCGATTCAGGGCGCTGGGTCTTTCCTTTTCGGACATTTATTAACAGCATGCTAGTAACAAACAGTCGGGTGGCTGAATTCTGGCGGCATGCTAACTAATATAGTTAGTTTGTTGTTTAATCTCATTCCTACTTACATAAACGGATTGTTGAGTCTGGTAGCAGGCTAACAAATATAGTTCGTTTGTTTAGTGTCATTTATCCCACATCAATGGTTTCCCTGGTTCACTAGATATCCGACATAGTATGGAAGAATAGGCAACACTCACCTCCCGGTGTTAGCGCTGTTGAGTTTGACTGTTGCTAGGTTGGGTGACCGCCTAGCAACGCCGTGATCGGTCTGCTCGCCGTTGTCAAGCTCGGCAGCCATCTTGCTTGGCTTAGCAACGCCGTGATCGGTCTGCTCGCCGTTGTCAAGCTCGGCAGCCATGTTGTTTAGCTTAGTAACGGCGAGCTTGCCAAGCTCGCCGTTGTTAGGTTAGGCAACCAGCTTGTTTAACTTAGCAACGCCGTTATCGGTCTGCTCGCCGTTGTTAGGTTAGGCAACCAGCTTGTTAAACTTAGCAACGCATTCAAGTCCCAATCAAAACCAATCCCCTACCTACATGCATACATAATATCAAGTATACTCTTCAAATAAAGGACGCATCGACAATGCTCGCGCAAAACACCCATCCCTTTTTTTAACCTACTCCTAGGGCCAAATTCAGACGTTCAAGAACCTCTAAGCTGCATGTGCACATCGAAGGATGTCTCGCGCTACACCCTCACCGTTTTCAAAGGGGGCTGGGGGGCTTAAGTCCCATAAATAAGCCTCTAGGCCGCAAGTTATGCAGAACCCCCATTGTACTACTACTCTTACTGCAATGTAGTCTGTCTCACAGTCCCTGAACCACATTATCTTCCCTACCACCTAGCCCTCCCTGCAAAGTAGTCTGTCTCACAGTCCCTGAACCACATTATCTTCCCTACCACCTAGCCCTCCCTGCAAAGTAGTCTGTCTCACAGTCCCTGAACTACATTATCTTCCCTACCACCTAGCCCTCCCTGCAATGCATTCTGTCTCACAGTCCCTGAACCACATTATATTCCCTACTGCCTAGCCCCCCCTCCAAAGTTGTTTGTCTTACAGACCCTGATCCACATTATCTTCCCTACCACCTAGTCCTCCCTGCAACGTTGTCTGTCTCACAGTCCCTGAACCACATTATATTCCCTACTGCCTAGCCCTCCCTGCAACGTTGTCTGTCTCACAGTCCGTGAACCACATTATATTCCCTACTGCCTAGCCCTCCCTGCAATGTAGTCTGTCTCACAGTCCCTGAACCACATTATCTTCCCTATCACCTAGCCCTCCATGCAATGCATTCTGTCTCACAGTCCCTGAACCACATTATCTTCCCTACTGCCTAGCCTTCCATGCAATGTAGTCTGTCTCACAGTCCCTGAACCACATTATCTTCCCTACAGCCTAACCCTTTCTGCAATGTAGTCTGTCTCACAGTCCCTGAACCACATTATCCTCCCTACAACCTAGCCCTCCCTTCAACGTTGTCTGTCTCACAGTCCCTGAACCACATTATCTTCCCTACCACCTAGCCCTCCCTGCAATGTAGTCTGTCTCACAGTCCCTGAACCACATTATCTTCCCTACCAACTAGCCCTCCCTGCAACGTTGTCTGTCTCACAGTCCCTGAACCACATTATCTTCCCTACCACCCAGCCCTCCCTGCAACGTTGTCTGTCTCACAGTCCCTGAACTACATTATCTTCCCTACCACCTAGCCCTCCCTGCAATGTAGTCTGTCTCACAGTCCCTGAACCATATTATCTTCCCTTCGACCCAGCCCTCCCTGCAACGTTGTCTGTCTCACAGTCCCTGAACCACATTATCTTCCCTACCACCTAGCCCTCCCTGAAATGTAGTCTGTCTCACAGTCCCTGAACCACATTATCTTCCCTAATGCCTAGCCCGTTCTGCAATGTAGTCTGTCTAACAGTCCCTGGACCACATTATCTTCCCTACAGCCTAGCCCTTTCTGCAATGTAGTCTGTCTCACAGTCCCTGAACCACATTATCTTCCCTACCACCTAGCCCTCCCTGCAACGTAGTCTGTCTCACAGTCCCTGAACCACATTATCGTCCCTACCACCTAGCCCTCCCTGCAACGTTGTCTGTCTCACAGTCCCTGAACCACATTATCTTCCCTACTGCCTAGCCCTCCCTGCAGTGTAGTCTGCCTCACAGTCCCTGAACCACATTATCTTCCCTACGACCTAGCCCTCCATGCAATGTAGTAAGTCTCACAGTCCCTGAACCACATTATCTTCCCTACAACCTAGCCCTCCCTGCAACGTTATCTGTCTCACAGTCCCTGAACCACATTATCTTCCCTACCACCCAGCCCTCCCTGCAACGTTGTCTGTCTCACAGTCCCTGAACTACATTATCTTCCCTACCACCTAGCCCTCCCTGCAATGTAGTCTGTCTCACAGTCCCTGAACCATATTATCTTCCCCTTCGACCCAGCTCCTCCCTGCAACGTTGTTGTCTGTCTCACAGTCCCTGAACCACATTATCTTCCCTACCACCTAGCCCTCCCTGAAATGTAGTCTGTCTCACAGTCCCTGAACCACATTATCTTCCCTAATGCCTAGCCCGTTCTGCAATGTAGTCTGTCTAACAGTCCCTGGACCACATTATCTTCCCTACAGCCTAGCCCTTTCTGCAATGTAGTCTGTCTCACAGTCCCTGAACCACATTATCTTCCCTACCACCTAGCCCTCCCTGCAACGTAGTCTGTCTCACAGTCCCTGAACCATATTATCGTCCCTACGACCTAGCCCTCCATGCAATGTAGTCTGTCTCACAGTCCCTGAACCACATTATCTTTCCTACCACCTAGCCCTCCCTGCAACGTTGTCTGTCTCACAGTCCCTGAACCACATTATCTTCCCTACCACCTAGCCCTCCCTGCAACGTTGTCTGTCTCACAGTCCCTGAACCATATTATCTTCCCTATCACCAAGCCCTGCATGCAACGTTGTCTGTCTAACAGTCCCTGAACCACATTATCTTCCCTACTGCCTAGCCCTCCCTTCAACGTTGTCTGTCTCACAGTCCCTGAACCACATTATCTTCCCTACCACCTAGCCCTCTCTGCAACGTTGTCTGTCTCACAGTCCCTGAACCACCTTATCTTCCCTACTGCCTGGCCCTCCTTGCAACGTTGTCTGTCTCACAGTCCCTGAACCACATTATCTTCCCTACAGCCTAGCCCTCTCTGCAATGTAGTCTGTCTCACAGTCCCTGAACCACATTATATTCCCTACTGCCTACCCCTCCATGCAACGTTGTCTGTCTCACAGTCCCTGAACCACATTATCTTCCCTACTGCCTAGCCCTCCCTGCAGTGTAGTCTGTCTCACAGTCCCTGAACCACATTATCTTCCCTGCCACCTAGCCCTCCCTGCAATGTAGTCTGTCTCACAGACCCTGAGCCACATTATCTTCCCTGCCACCTAGCCCTCCATGCAATGTAGTCTGTCTCACAGACCCTGAGCCACATTATCTTCCCTACCACCTAGCCCTCCCTGCAGTGTAGTCTGTCTCACAGTCCCTGAACCACATTATCTTCCCTACGACCTAGCCCTCCATGCAATGTAGTCTGTCTCACAGTCCCTGAACCACATTATCTTTCCTACCACCTAGCCCTCCCTGCAACGTTGTCTGTCTCACAGTCCCTGAACCACATTATCTTCCCTACCACCTAGCCCTCCCTGCAACGTTGTCTGTCTCACAGTCCCTGAACCATATTATCTTCCCTATCACCAAGCCCTACATGCAACGTTGTCTGTCTAACAGTCCCTGAACCACATTATCTTCCCTACTGCCTAGCCCTCCCTTCAACGTTGTCTGTCTCACAGTCCCTGAACCACATTATCTTCCCTACTGCGTAGCCCTCCCTGCAACGTTGTCTGTCTCACAGTTCCTGAACCACATTATCTTCCCTACTGCCTATCCCTCCTTGCAATACTGAAGCCCTGAATGAAGCAGGTCGAGATTCTGTTCAATTTAAACGGGTTTATGTGTTACTGTCAAAATCATATACATTCAGAGACCAGGTGTTAGTCAATTCGAGCGACTACTCTAGTCAATCACAACCTTACATTTAATGTTTCGGGGTAACAAAAACTGCGTATAGTATCTTATGCCAATTGACTCACTTTTGGGGATTAAATGCAGCTACACTGTTGAGACTTAGAGTCTTTTGAAAGTAGTGAAACTCGTTGTTCGTGGCTTTAAAGGTTGTAGCGCAAGTACCATGTTTTTGCCATTCATGTTCCCTGAAATGAAGAGAATATATCAATAGTGTATTAGATAAGGTGGTCGTACCTAACTGCCGTATTGTCCGGCCATTGCACTAGTTCTTTGGCCAGACCCTGAGGTCGGACAATAATAACTATATTTTCGCCATGCTTGTGGTCCAGGGTCCAGATTTTCGAAGCTCTCTTAGCGCTGTTAGTCGTAAGTGCCATACATTAACATTAACATACGACTATCTTAGCGCTAAGAGAGCTTCGAAAATCTAAGCCCAGGCTGACCCATACATGGTGACCGAATCCTTAAGTACCAGTTCCCCGACTCCCCTTTGTTGTGAGTGCTTGAGGTTTGGTTTTATGTTGTTATTAGGTCTTATTGGAGAAGAAGGGGTGGTGGGGTAGCTTAGTGGGTAATGCGTTCGCTCGTCACGCTGAAGACCCGGGTTCGATTCCCCAAACGGGTACAATGTGTAAAGCCCATTTCTGGTGTCCCCCGCCGTGATATTGCTGGAATATTGCTAACAGCATCCTCACTCACTTACGCATTCCTCTTTCATGCATACCCACGGCGAAAAGACGTTGCTTTTCACCGAGCCGTGGTATTGCAAAAGCGTTTACTTACTATAGGAGTTTCTTGACCACTTCATAGCTAATCGCGCGTGTGAATATCTTGCTCCTTACAAAACCCAAACTTCCAAAATGTACATTGTGTATGAACATGATCGCGCTAAAAATGTCTTATTGGAGAAAAAGGGGCGGTGGGGTAGCCTAGCAGCTAATGCGATCGCTTGTCACGCTGAAGACCCAGGTTCGATTCCCAAAATAGGGTGCAATATCCGAAGCCCATTTCTGGTGTCCCCAGCCGTGATATTGATGAAATATTGCAATAGGCGGCGTAAAACTAAACTCACTCACTATTGGAGAAGAACGCACTTGTCAGTTGTTTGCCCCGAATAACGCTGAAGATAAAAACCACTTTCTTTCTATATCTTCATTTTATCATAAATTACATATTACGTATATCCCTAGACCTCAAAATATCAAAAGTATTTTATTTAAATGAAATCTGTTTAAAAACTTGATTTTGTTTACCTTCACAAACGTGTGTGTGTATATTTAGCATACAATTAGTACAGGGTAAATAGTATGCCCCTCCCTCTACAAATAATTTGAACGGAATATATACTGAGTATAAATTCACTGGGCATGTGGCTAACCTCGGTGCGGCAAGAGGAGAAATTATTTGACCACAATCAACATTGGTACTAGATCACAAACAACTTTAGATACGGCATAGTTTTATAGTCTTGAAAAGGACGAAATGTATCACTATTATCCAGTATCCAAACCACAAGACTGGACGGTTTTATGCACTGTCAGATGACATTATTGATTTATAATTATAAGCATTAAACTAGCTTAACATTTCATCTTCCACTTACAATAAATTTACAATATTTAACATGAACAATTTCTTCGACATTTTCGTACATATGTACACTTTATCTCAGCGTGGTCTGGCAAATTAGGTAAAATATTACCAAAAAATTAGAATATGTATTAACATTTAAATATGGATATTTAAAAATCATATTTTGATAGATACTGCCTATCTGAAGTAACAAATGTTTGAGAAAATATATTCATAGATGAAATTGTGTGGCATGAATCACCTACCACAGCGACCGTTTCTTCGTTTTACAGTTAAGATTCGGCCAGCTTGTCTCAAGTTGTTTTTCAAGAGACTGAAATAATGAAATTACAAATGTAAAAGTAGTGAAGTAACTCATTCCATTTACTTTAAAACATACCCCTTTCACTGGGAATTTCATAGTGTATAGTGAGCAGTTTAAAAGTCGAAGACATTTTCTTACTGCCTACCTTGATCTTTTCCCAACTAAAATGCCAGCTGTTGTTGCAGTCATTACGTAGTTTGGGCCTGTAACATAATAAACAAGAAAACTGTGTTGGAATTAAATATTGTATTGCCATCACTTTAATAGTTGTAAGCTTGAGGTTTTCAAATGGTGCTGTTTCATTATTACATGTTCCTAAGGAGCTATTGCCTGAGACTGACTTAGAAGTGTTAAGGTGCCGTCTCACTGCCGTCATACTATTGTTTGTACGTTTGTTTGTTGTTTAACGCTGTGCTGAGTAATGGCGCCAGTCTGTAGATTATCGAGTCCGAACCGGACAATCTAGTGATCAACATCATGAGCATCGATCTACGCAATTGGGATACGATGACATGTGTCAACCAAGTCAGTGAGCTCGACCAACCGATCCCGTTAGTCGTCTTTTTACGACAAGCATGGGTTCTGAAGACCAATTCTAACCCGGATCTTCACGGGGTATATTATTATATTGTAAACCGCCTTATTCAAAGACACGAATTCGATATTTATCCCTTTATGTATTATCAATTCATAATGTAAGTGAGGTTTTACAAGCCTTTTATCGACTATCCCTTCCATAAACACCAGAAATGGACTTATCTCACTGCATGTCATGTCATCTGTCGTGATATTATGGTGTGATATCCTATTGCCACTATGTTGGTTTCGACCCGTGAAGGCCCGGGTTAGAATGAACCTTCAGTAACTCACTCGATCACTATATTGATTTCACAACATTATATTGGTATGCATTCTACCTTCCATTTTATTATATATTATAAACATTTATCTTCGAATCATCAATAAATATTAGTTATGTGACATTCTTCGGAAGAAGGGAAGAGGTTTAAGGACTTACCACAGACCGTGAACAGTCCAGGTTTTCACTTGCTGGGGGGATGCAATCACACTGAAAATATCTTTCTTGAATATACAATTTATACCTGGGATAGGTCAGATGCACCAAACTATGCAATATCCTATAATATTCACCATCCCTACGTTTTTTGGTTCAGTAAAGACGGATCACTGAAAATCTGTAGTGACGCCAGATGTTGGCAAAACGGGTAGGCATATTCTAACCTTCTGGCAGCGGTCGTCATTTACAAATTATGCACACAAAAGTATATGTTTGCTGACTGACTTTACACAGCTACGGAGGCGTGTGAACAAGCCAGACAATCAGAAACTTCAGGGACACGATATCGAATTCTTATCGAATGTTGAAATTACAAACAACTATTTGTATTCTGAATTACGGCTGCTATGTACAAGTACAGAGATTCAGCTGCTTGTAATTAGTAAGTTTAGTTTTACGCCGCTTTCAGCAATATTCCCGCAACATCACGGCGGGGGACGCCAGAAATGGGCTTCACATATTCTACCTATGTGGCGAATCGAATCCGGGTGTTCGACGTAAAGAGCGACACTTTAAGCACTAGGCTGCCCCAACTAACGACTAACTGATCACTGAGGTTAGGCAAGGCCCTTAGCTTGTGCAGGACGTACCATAGAAACATCTGTCTAATACATGTGTATGAGAAAGGTATGATCCTTTGAAACTGAAACTGACGACATTCCTACTTACAGAGAATACCGTGACTGACAAATATGTGTGAGTCGACCAAGATTACAAACACTTGTGAGTCCACCACGAAGTCGTGTCAAACATAAAAATGGGCTCTTCCTCTAAAAACTCCACACACTCGGAACTTAATGTTAATGTCAAATAATTACACGAAACGTACCTCAGGGGATAAGGTATGACATACACTCGGAGGCCATTGTTGTGCAAAGATGAAGCTCGTCCTCTTCTCATCGACACAGATGGCTCTGTAATAGTATGTAATCGTGTGTATAAGTAGTGTATACACACTGTATTCAAGTACTGATATGTAAGCATGTGCGTTGTATACAGACACCCTTGTGGTCAAGTAATGATATGTAAGCATGTGAATTGTATGCATATACCCTTTTAGTAATGATATGTAAGCATGTGCGTTGTATGCATATACCCTATTGGTAATGATATGTAAGCATGTGCGTTATATGCATATGCCCTATTAGTAATGATATGTAAGCATCTGGTTGTATGCATATACCCTATTAGTAATGATATGTAAGCATGTACGTTGTATACAGATACCTTATCAGTAATCACATATAAACATGTGCGTTGTATACAGATACCCTGGCAGTAATGATATGTAAGCATGTACGTTGTATACAGATACCCTGGCAGAAATGATATATAAGCATGTGCGTTGTATACAGATACCCTGGTAGTAATGGCATGTAAGCATGTACGTTGTATACAGATACCTTATCAGTAATGATATATAAGCATGTGCGTTGTATACACATACCCTGGTAGTAATGATAAACCGTGTACGTTGCATACAGATACCCGGTAGTAATGGTATGTAGGCATGTACGTTGTATACAGATACCCGGTAGTAATGGTGTGTAGGCATGTAGATTGAATTCAGATACCCGGCAGTGATGATAAAGCATGTGCGTTGAATACACATACCCTGGTAGTAATGATAAAGCGTGTACGTTGTATACACATACCCTGGTAGTAATGATAAAGCACGTACCTTGTATACAGACACCCTGGTACTAATAATATGTAAGCATGTACGTTGTATACAGATACCATATCAGCAATGATATATATGCATGTGCGTTGTATACACATACCCTGGTAGTACTGTTAAAGCGTGTACGTTGTATACATATACACTGGTAGTAATGATAAAGCGTGTACGTTGTATACAGATACCCTGGTAGTAATGATAAAGCGTGTACGTTGTATACAGATACCTGGTAGTAATGATAAAGCGTGTACGTTGTATACACATAAACAGGTAGTAATGATAAAGCGTTTACGTTGTATACAGATACCCGGTAGTAATGGTGTATAGGCATGTAGGTTGAATACAGATACCCGGTAGTGATGATAACGCATGTGCGTTGTATACACATAACCTGGTAGTAATGATAAAGCGTTTACGTTGTATACACATACCCTGGTAGTAATGATAAAGCGTTTACGTTGTATACACATACGCTGGGTATGTGTATTCAACGCACATGCTTTATCATCACTGCCGGGTATCTGTATTCAATCTACATGCATACACACCATTACTACCGGGTATCTGTATACAATGATATATGAACATGTGCGTTGTATACACATACTCTGGTAGTAATGATAAAGGGTGTTCGTTGTATACACATGCCCTGGCAGTAATGATAATGCGTGTACGTTGTATACACATACCCTGGTAGTAATGATAAAGCGTGTACGTTGTATACACATACCCTGGTAGTAATGATATATAAGCATGTGCGTTGTATACAGATACCCTGGTAGCAATGGCATGTAAGCATGTACGTTGTATACAGATACCTTATCAGTAATGATATATAAGCATGTACGTTGTATACAGATACCCTGGTAGTCATGATAAACCGTGTACGTTGTATACACATACCCTGGTAGTAATGATAAAGCGTGTACGTTGTATACACATGAACAGGTAGTAATGATAAAGCGTTTACCTTGTATACACATAAACAGGTAGTAATGATAAAGCGTTTACGTTGTATACAGATACCCGGTAGTAATGGTGTGTAGGCATGTAGGTTGAATACAGATACCCGGTAGTGATGATAAAGCATGTGCGTTGTATACACATAACCTGGTAGTAATGATAAAGCGTTTACGTTGTATACAGATACCCTGGTAGTAATGATAAAGCACGTACCTTGTATACAGACACCCTGGTAGTAATAATATGTAAGCATGTACGTTGTATACAGACACCCTATCAGCAATGATATATGAGCATGTGCGTTGTATACACTCACCCTGGTAGTAATGATAAAGCGTGTACGTTGTATACACATACTCTGGTAGTAATGATAAAGGGTGTACGTTGTATACACATGCCCTGGTAGTAATGATAATGCGTGTACGTTGTATACACATACCCTGGTAGTAATGATAAAGCGTGTACGTTGTATACACATTCCCTAGTAGTAATGATAAAGCTTTTACGTTGTATACACATACCCTGGTAGTAATGATAAAGCATGTATGTTGTATACAGATACCATGGTAGTGATGGTATGTAGGCATGTACGTTGTATACAGATACCATGGTGGTAATGGTATGTAGGCGTGTATGTTGTATACAGTTACCCTGGTACTAATGATATGCAGGCATGTGCGTTGTATACAGATACCCTGGTAGTAATGATATGTTGGCATGTAGGTTGAATACAGATACCCTGGTAGTAATGGTATGTAAGGATGTACGTTGTATACAGATACCCTGGAAGTAAAGATATGTAAGCATGTACATTGTATACAGATACCCGTGTGGTCAAGTAATGATATGTAGGAATTACGTTGTATACAGACAGACTGGTAGTAATAATGTGTAAGCATGAACGTTGTATACAGACACCCTGGTAGTGATGATATGTGATGCATGAACGCTGTATACAGACACCCTGGTAGTGATGATATGTAAGCATGTACGTTGTATACAGACACCCTGGTGGTGATGATATGTAAGCATGTACGTTGTATACAGACACCCTGGTGGTGATGATATGTAAGCATGAACGTTGTATACAGACACCCTGGTGGTAATGATATGTGAGCATGTACGTTGTATACAGGCATCCTATTCCTTATGATATGTAGGCATGTAGGTTGAATACAGATACCCTGGTAGTAATGGTATGTGATGCATGAACGTTGTATACAGACACCCTGGTAGTAATGATATGTGAGCATGTACGTTGTATACAGATACCCTGGTAGTAATGGTATGTGATGCATGAACGTTGTATACAGACACCCTGGTAGTAATGATATGTGAGCATGTACGTTGTATACAGACACCCTGGTAGTAATGGTATATAGGCATGTACGTTGTGACTTAATTATAACATATCTCGATTATTCATTCCGTGGCCTTATGAAACAAGTCAAATTTTAATCTCATAAAGCAAGGAAGCATATCGTACAAATCGAAGCAGGAAAATGTGTCAAACATCACTTTGGTCACTGATGTGTCCAAGATGGAAATGGAAACTCATTAAAAACTCCGAGGCCCCGAATGTAACCTCGACCAAGGATATATATATCAGATCGGGAATGTGAGGGGTAGGGGGCATTTATCTAAGGCAAAGCCTTTCGCTGTGTAGAGTAGCGTCCCTTGGATACGATAGGACCTTGTGATGGTGGGTTCTAATCCCGGTTCCCTCCAAATATGTTCCCAGGTTTACCAGTATCATTGCATGTCCAAGTGATGAACGTCTAAGATATTGAGGCTCTTTCCTTCAACACTAATCCACGATGAAACTAGAAAACTGTTCAAAGCGGCTTCATAAACCTCTTTCACTCACTTATTCTACACCCATGTGTGAAACTATTATTTTTTAAGATGATTATTTTTAGAAAAACAGAAACACTCACGTATTCATCAAGGAGAGGAACAGAACGATGCCGATTCCCCGAGCCGCCATTTCATTCAGCGTTTGGCGATGGAGCTCTCAACTGAAAATGAAAGTTCGATATATAACATTAATCATATAGCATTATGTCATATGAAAACTACTCAACGATAACAATGTTTTGTGTATACAAGGGTAGACTGGATGTTGTTTGAATATCCGTGTCGGGAATGTATTCCGATATACAATGTACTCGGGCACTTTCGCCTTCATTTCAACCTGGGGTAGTCCTGTAGGTAACGCGTTGACTCCCAAAGTGAGTGAGTGAGTATGGTTTTAAGGATGGGAAAGTCAAATTAAGGTACACTTACAGAATACCGGATACCTAATTATATACATTCTATTGTGCGCGTGAGGCTCCTATATATAGAAGAAACAGAGAGCGCGAGCCTGCGAGCGATCCAATAAAAATACGAATTTAAGGTAAAAAATAAGGTTAAAATCGAATTCCTCACCTTACATCCGGTTTAGGAAACCTAAACTGGGGATTTTAACAACGTTCACTGACGTAAACAGAGTAAAAAGTAATCGTGCGTTGAAATTTTATTCAAATGCATGCTGGGAAAAGGAACTCTACAGTGTGGGAACACTCTGATGGTAAGTGATTTTTGATTGGTAAGGTAAGGTAGGTAAGGCTTTAAATAAAGGGGGGTACCCCCTTTACCTTACCTTTTTTTAGCTTTAATATTGTTTAATATTTAATATTTAATATTGAACGCTGCTTCAACACAGCCTTCATTCATCGCGTGCCGTTGCTAAGGAAACAAAATGGAAGTGCGCAAAAATAAATGCGCAATCAAAATAAAAATGGCGGATAGGTATCCGGTATTCTGTAATCTTGCCCAAATTAACTCTGTGCGCCTAGTGGCACTCCTCAGGGAGTTGAGATTGATAATATGACGTGCCGCTGAGATTGACATCCAATGATCGAGGGACAAACAAGGAAGCGCTTTGAGCATGCACGTGGGATGGACTATAGCGCTATATAAATACCCATATAATAATTTTAGGCTTTAAACAATATTCCAGCAATATCACGGCGGGGCACACCAGAAATGGGTTTCACTCATTGTACCCAGGTTGGGGAATCGAACCCAGGTACTTCGGCATGACGAGCGGACGCTTTAACCATTAGGCTACCCCACAGACCCTAACTCTCCTACCTCTCACTTTTAAATGATTATCGGCTGTTGAGCAAGTTTTCTTCCTTATCAGGTGACTGGACACGATGTGTGTAAACACGTGCTGATTTATAAGTGTAACATTGTAGATAGGATTGATTAAATCAATATATCATGGGACATTTTCCGTATTTGCATTTGATAAAAATAAATTTCAATAAATTCAAGATATTTGTTCGGCGTTTTCCTTGACACAATAATTATCGACTAACGACATATTACTGAAGCTTTTAACATAGGTTTACAGATAAAGTACTCACTACAGCCCAATACAGAGGTAATGGCAGTGGGTGAGTGAATTTGTTTTAACGCTACTTGGAATAGTGTTTGAGTTACAGAAAGATCTACATGCAGTTTGAACTTCAACAAATAATACTGATTTCGGGAAAAAAGGCTGTTTAAACACAGAGCCCCTGAGGCTACAATCATTACGAAATAGAGGTTGGTTGGTTGGTTGGTTGGTTGCACAGCTATATGGCAGCGGTCTGCAAATAATGGAGTCTGGGCCAGATAATCCAGTGATAACAGCATGAGCAGCGATCAACGCAATATGGGTATGATGACATGTGTCAACCAAGACCACCCGATCCCGTTAATCGCCTTTTATGACAGGCAGGGGTTACTGAAGACCAGTTCTAACCCAGCTCTTCACGGGTGCCATGTCCTAATGAATAACAGGGACAGGATTGATAAAAATGCATAACCAATAAATCCCAGACGGCAGATAAACAAGCACCTCAAAATAAAGCACAGGAACGAGACTGACATACATACTATGTAAATGAACAACAGAAGCATACCAACATGTATAATACAGCACAGATTGGTTAAACGATAAACACACGTGCCTAAAAGAAGCCCCCTCCCCCACACCCACACACACACCCACACCCACACCCACACACCCCACACACACATTAGATCTCTTAGTACTGAGAACTTGCAGAATATGCTAGTTGACACTGGTTCATTGGGTATGAGTTCCGAGTGATATTGCAGGGATATGGTCAATGGTGAACTATATACGAATTACTATTAATATTCCTCTGCTTCAAACAACTGGTCAAATGTATTGAACTGACGACGGATTGTAGTGTAATCTTGTACAAATCTAGTGATGGATATGATGAGCAACGATCCACGCCGTCGGTGTACGGTGACACGCTGTTATGATAGATTGATTGTTGTTTAATGCCGCACTCAGCAATATTCCAGCTATATGGTGGCGGTCTGTAATTAATCCAACCTGGACCAGACAATCCAGTGATCAGCAACATGAACATCGATCTACACAACTGGGATAGGACGACATGTGTCAACCAAGTCATCGAGCCTGACCACCCGATCCCGTTAGTCGCCTTTTACGACAAGCATGGTTTGCTGAAGATCTTCCCGAGTGACGCGCTATAACCCAAACTAACCGCCCGACCTCACCACCCGAACCATACCATCTTTTCTTACGACCAGTAGCAGGTCGACGAGATCAATACTATCCCAGAATAACATTGGGTTATTCCTATCTGAAATAATGAGCGAACTATATGGCGGTAGTTTTCAACCAATCTTAGAAGGCTGACGTGATCTTCAGCGGCTGATGGCCAAAATTGGAGCGAACATCAAAAAATATATACTGGGAAAAGTATTCCGAGGAACATTATAAATTTCAGCCATATCTGTTAAATGAGAAAGGTTACAAAACACGATCGGCAAACCCTTTAACAGGGTGCACATTGCACACGTATAGTGAGTAGGGGTGGGCGATAATACCGGTTAAACGGTATATTGCAATTCGAACATCACAATACGATATATTGCGGTACACTTTTCGCGAACCGGTTCTCCCGTTACGATCGGTAATTTTCGTCATGTAGTCAAAACTACTAATACCATTTATATTTCCTTGACATTATTATACATTAATAGTTTTTAGAATGTTTATTGGTCATATAATTGCATTTGCGTGACTTTTAAACCATTTAAATAAAAGAGTAGATTCGTGCCGGCATCGTTGTAAGGATAAACAAACCAAAATGGCGGATGCCGCTGCAGAGTGACTGACGCTTTTTAGAGCGAAGTCTTCAATTTGGAAATATTTTCAATTGATCTCTTGTACAATCACATCTGAGTCCTGACAGTGGCCAGTGTCATCGTTTCAGAGAAAGGAAACAGTAATTTCATTACCTTAACCCATATGTTACACTTTCACAATACAATGTATATTGCAATACATATTGCAATACGCCAACACATATCGCAATATATCGCAATACGAAAATTTTGGCAATGCCCAACCCTAATAGTGAGTGAGTATGGTTTTACGCCGCTTTTAGCAACATGCCAGCAATATCATGGCGGGGACACCAGAAATGGGCTTCACACATTGTACCCATGTGGGGAATCGAACCCAGGTCTTTGACGTCACGTCAATGGAAAAGGAAATCGCTTCGTTCCAGTATTTCGACAAATAGGGCGGACATTTTTACTTGTCCATACACCCGTGTCACCAGTCAAGATTTCAATCCAATCCTTTCAAAATTATGGATACAAAGATTTAAGATGTCAACGAATACCACAGGAGTTCCCATACCACGGGACGAGCCTAATGTTACCCAGTTCTTCTTTCACCCAGTCCTACCTTGCTGCTTGACAGGTCTGTGGTCCAGTGAGGTCCAGTGAGGTCCAGACTTGCAACTGTCAGGTGAAGTCAGGTGAAGTGCCTATCACAACTCAGATTGATATTTGATCATTTGTAGTCTCAATTTCCTCTTCTAAACTTCCTCTTCGGAAATAATCATTTTCCTTACGATATCTGTCAACAATAACTGTTTGCTCGGCAGCAATTCTGAGTAAGATATATCTGTAACCGATGTGTGTCCTGCTTTGATATTTATGTGCAACTGACCGGATACGATCGCGTACTTCTTTACTGAATACGTAATATAAGCTCTTCAGTCGTGTGGGTTTTTTTTGTGGGGTTTTTGTTTTTATTTTCACACCTAAATGAAACATATACTGGTGGATGTTGCTTTATGCTCCTATTCCACACAGACCACGAATCCCACAAATCGCCACGAATTGACACATTTGAAGATTCGTAGTTGAATAGTAATCATTTCGTGAAGTTCTTAAATAATTCGTAATATAGTCGTAGTCAGTTCTTGCATTTCTTGAGCAATCGGGAATTCGTGTCAAGAGTTTTGAACTGTTCAAAATTTTGGCTACGAACTCCCGATCTAAAATAATCGTAGTTCATTCGTAACAAATTCGTAGTGCATTCTTATTCATCGTAAACGAATCGTAATTAAATCGTAGGTATTTTTAACTCATTCGCAGATTACTCAATTCGTGGCCTGACAATGAATCGGCTACGAATCTGTCACGAATCCCTCAAGTACACGCCGAAGCAGGTGCTAAGCAAGTAAGAACTAGTAAGAAAATCAGCTACGAATGCCGACAAATTGGGTATATAAGGAGTTTAACATTGACTTCAGGTCATTAGCTGCTGACGATTCTTCAACGTATCCTTAATCAGCAAGAATATACTTAGATAAGTATTTCTGTCTTTCAGTTTTATATAATACCAATAAACCTTGAAAAAAGATATAAAAAAGTCCAAGCTTTGTTTTTTGTTTGCGTTTCCTTTACCACTGCTCGGTCCAAACAGAAATTTTGAGAAATGGATTGGGGCAATGTGAAGATTGAAAAAAATACATTCATGGCAGAAAGCAGAAATTCTGCCATAGTGTTCCAGGGAGCTGTTGTGCCGGGAGTCAGTAAAGCGGTACAAGCCCTCTTGGGCTTCTTGATGTAATAAACGGAACATTTTATTAGCGCTAACAAACAT